TAGAAACTAAACTAAATATGCCAAAAAAGTGCGTTTAATGAAAGACACATGGAGTGCTTAATTACCTCAGGCTCGGGTTGATTTTCAGAAATTGCAGTATGCAACGCATTATGTCCTTCTTCATTCTCCCACTTTAGTGTCTTTTCTTTGTCGAAGTGTCGAAGCCATCCTAACAAGACTTTAAAAGCTTTAAAGCTCCTGTTTTTTATGGCAACATGGATAGCAGTTTCAGATTTAACTGTCAAATCTTCGATAGACGATGGACAAACATACAAAAACTCAGCCAAATTGGTTTCATCGTCTAGTTCAGCTGCGTAGTGCAAAGGAGTAACCATTCCCTTTGCTTTCACACGGACAACCTCTGGGTGAATTTTTATCAAAAATGTTACCAGTTCCTGGTACTTCTCCACCAACTCCGAATCTCGGGGACTAAGCCCTTCCTGCAGGTGCTTGCCCTCCAAAGCCAAGTGAAGCAAGCCACGCCCAAGATGGTCTCGCCTCCCGACAAGGGATGGCTTTAAGTTTAGAATTTCCTTGACGAAATGGATCTTTCCCCCGCTTACAGCTGCGTGTACCGGAGTAGTCACAAATGACATCTCATCAATACGCTCCAAAACAAGAGGATCCTCCGCAACTATTGAAAACAATGCATCCACATCTCCTTGTACGGCAAAATTCAGCAGCCTCTGCAACCTTTCATCCATACCTTAGGTTGCTAATTGACACCTGTTTTAGAATATTGCTCCTGATTATAGAAGTTACGATAACAATTTTTGTACAGGAAAGAACATATCAAATGTCATTTTGTACAAGAAAGTACTAAGTACTAACATCTAACAAACGAAAAGGATTTATTATATAGAGGAAGAGGATATACCTTGGTTAATATTCTCATAAAGAAAAGTAAATTTCAACCTCACTAATAACTTTAATTTTTAAGTATTATATATATTTTCTTTATTACAACTATTTGTTTTCTTTAATTTTCCTTTTCCTTTTCCTTTTCCTATTTCCTTTTCCTTTTCTGTTTGTAACCATAAATTTCAATCCAATTTAAGAATTTTGCTTTCTCTTTAACCACCATTTCCTTTTCTTTCATTCAAAACTAATTATCTCTAACTTTTAAATTTTTTATTCCACCATTTCTTTTCTTTTTTCGTTCTTTCTTTTTTTCTAAAGAAATTTTGGAAAGACTAAAGAGGGTCTATGCTATGCTTTTTTCATGTGCATATATAAGAACAATAGTGCACTCACAAACTAAACAAAAGGGGCACGTGCCCCCTCAACTTTTGATTTTTCATTTTTTTTTTTTTTTTTAATTTTTACTTACTTTTGAAATTCTCAATATTTAGAAATATCTCAAAATTTTATTCTAAATGATGTGTTATCATATTTGATTTTATTACAGCATTATAAATCATTCTTTATTTACAAGTCAACACCACATAATATAACAAATTATTCAAACAAAAATTCGGAGTTATCTCTTCATATATAGCATCATTCAACTAGAAATTAAATGTAAAATTGTAATTATGAACGTATCAACATCTCCTTCAGCAGCCTCTGCAAACTCTCATCCATAACTCAAGAGGCTGATTGACACCTTTTTTACAGTTTTGCTTCTTACAATGAAAATAACATCAGCCTTGAAAAAGGAAAAAAAAAATTGGGAAATATTTCTTATCAAGCTATGCAAGAAGAATAATAAAATTTGCCCCTCATTTGATAATTAGTTACCTCCGGTATTTTATTTTCTCCCTCACCACCATTTTGTTTTCTTTTTTCTTCTTTTAATGCGTCATTTTAGCTTTATGTACTTTTTTTTTCTTCCTCACCACCATTTCTTGCTCTTTTCTTTTCTTTTCTTTTTTATTTACACAGCAGCTTTGAGAAAAACAAAAGGGGGTCTATGCTTTGCTTTTTCTCAAGCGGATAACAATGATGAACCAATACATACAAAAACAAGGGGGCATGTGTCCTCTCAACTTTTAATTTGTTATGAAAAAGTTCTTTTATCTCAGCTCTATATTATATATTCGTGCCTTATGTGTACTTGTTTTAAGAGCGTTTTACCTTGTTTTTAATTATTTAATATTTTCCAATATATAAACTATCGTCTGCCACTATTATATATAAAAAAAAAATTATAAAATAAAATACACAAAAATTAAAGATATTATCTATTAAAGATATTATCTTCCTAAATACTAAAAAACTATGGGTACCAATATAATTTTCAGTTATTTTAATTTCACGGTTTTTTAAAATTAAATAAAGCTTGCACATAAATCAGGATCGTCCATTTATTTTTTAAAGATAACAATTTGATATAATTTCTCCACCGTAAAGTTTAAAAAAAAAAAAAAATCAATGGATGAAAAATCTATCATTACAATAATCATCAAGAATCAACTTATCAATTTAATGTCTAAAATTATGAATCTCACTTATCCACATTAATTAACAGTTTCTTACGGCGAATTTGATAATAACATGCCATTCACTTTGAAGTTTTAATCCAACAAGTTTAACTTTTACTGCTCCGGAGGAGTCATGGAGTTTTAGCTTCAATTATAACTGGTAAAGCTTCACATCATTTCCATTAGATTGAGTTAAATTTTCAATTTTATTAAGAAAATTCAAAGAAGGCAAAAGGTTATAAACATTGCTGATTCTCATACCGTGCATGACATAAACAATATAAATTCACCCAATATTGTTACCGCTGAGTTCATGTTGGAAGCTACCCAGGCGTAGTTTCTTCCTCCGGCCACACCATCTAAGCTTCCTTACTTCTAACAAAAGTGTGGACAAAAAACAAATATAACAAATGGAGTTACTATCACATAAGGAAGATAGACCCGGCTTATATCTGTTTCAAATGGGTACGGAAAGGTTTCAATCACTGCAAAAGTGAATGACCATAAGATCAAACTTTTGGGGACGCTAATGAATTTGGATAAAGGAAGCCTACCTATAAGAATAAAAATTGAGCACACAGAGAAGACGAAAGCCACAGAATTACAGAACAAAAATAATAAATGCAATCCAGAACCCTGAATCATATGCCCTGCGTCACTAAAGAGGATGGAGAGGGTGGGGAAAATGGAGGTGATGTTTGGGATTTTATTGATAACTGTGTTGTTTGTTGGCAGATTCCCGTCATCCTGCCAATATCCTCCGGGGGGGCTGAGTACAGCTTGATAGGTGCTTGTGGTAATCAATGTAACCACCACAAGTAGTAAGTTTCGGACTTCAAGAGATACTTTATTAATGTTCTCGTCAACAAGCCCCAAGATTTTCAGAGGGCTTTTCGCCCATGATAATTTCCCAGAAAAGTATTCGACTGGTGAATTTTTAAAACCAAATTGTTTTCCAAGTCTAGAGATAGACCAAGGATGGGCTACTACGTCAGAAGCTCTTTTAGCTTTAGAACCAAATAGAATTTCCCCAACTTCTGCATTCAGCGAATATTGGCGATTGTAGAAGATGTCCAAAGCTGTCCGTTCTTGGAGTTGAAGATATAAAAGAAGTAGCAAATAATATGATAGAGAGTCAATTAGAGCTGATGATGAAGCAAACAAAAGCGTTCCAACAAAACCATCCTGATGTGGCGAGTGAACGAAATAGAGACAACAACAGGAACAAAATAATAATAGTAAAACAAAACAAACAGTAAACAAAGAAAATAATACGCGCGCGATGACCCTGGTTCACCTAATGTAGGCTACGTCCAACTGAGGCAATATTATTACAATATGCCTCACCTCTCTCGTTTCAATAATGAATGCTCTCACATCATAACAAGAGAAAAGTATGTTTATATACTAGGTTTAAGGATTAAACCTAGTTTATAAGGATTCTATCATAAGCCCAACCAAAAAGGAATTAATAACTTAAAAGAAATCCTACCAGGTTATACATGGAAAAGCCCAAACCGCCTACAGGCTCGAGGGCGCTGCCCCCGCGACCCGCGCTCATGGGGAGTGGGATCCCCGAGTCGTCTCCGTTACCCTTTAATGCTGAAGTAGTCGACAACTCCAACAGCAAGGTTTCTAAATTCTATTACTGCAATGGAATAACAAGAAAAAAGAATGAATGAAAAAAGCCATAATCAATCCCTGCATCATGTAGTGATTTGGTGCCTTTTTTGTTGGCGTCTCGCTGTCATCTTGCCAAAATCCTCCTGGGGGCTGAGTGCAGCTTGGTAGGTGGCCGTTGCAGTCAAAATAGCCACCACAAGTACTATGTTTGGACATCAAGAGGAATTCTATCACCAAGCCTCATTTATTTTCATTAAATGGTAAACCGACCCACGTAAGTAGGAACAAGTGATTTTTTATAACTGAAGAAAATTTCAATTCATAGTTTTTCAGGTTTAGAGCAGGCGGAATATAGGGTTGTGCAAAATTATCCGCTACCGCATCGAACATGTAATCGAACACAACTGAATTTTTTGTGACCCAAAATCAAGTCGGTTTGGATAGTAATTCATGAGATACCCGAATTTTCAATTGGGTATCAGGTCTTATTATCGCCTTGTTTGTTTGATTCTAACAAAAGGCCCAAATTATTTAACCTAAAATGCAAATTTCTCTCCAATTCGGGTTTCTTCTTCAATTTCCTGCAGGTTCTGTCTTTGCTATTTTGTGTTTTTTCATAGTCTTGTTGCTTTTGTAAAGGTTTTGGTGTTTTGTAAAGTGTGACTTTGTGTTATGTTGAGTCAAGTTGAGTTAAAAAGAAATGAGTTCATTAGTGATGTTATCTAATGCAAAGGGAGAGAAGAATGGAGAAGACAAAGAAGAATAAGAAAGCAAGGTAGAGAAGAAGAGGAAGAAAAGGGTAAGTGGAAAAATTAGATGATGAAAGAGAAATTGTCAAATGAGGAGAATAAGATGAAGAAGAAGCGGAGAGATGGAGAAGGAAAAGAGAAATTTATGATTCTACCCTTTAAAAGTTAATTAAGTATTAACCACTTAAAATTCAGGTTATAAACCGGGTAATCAAATATCGACCCAAATATTAGGTCTAGGTACCATAAAAACAGGTTTGGTTCGGGTACCCCTAAAAATTCGGGTATCCGATAAAATGGCAAACTAGTTGAAATATTCAGTTTTGCACAACCATACGAAATAACAAGTAATTCAGATACTATTTTAGCTTAAGCACCAAATAGAATTTCCCCAATCCAACGAATTTCGAGGATCGTAGAAGATGTTTAAAGCTGTAACAACATTTACCATTCTTTTATTTACTTTCAAATATCAATCAAATCATTACCACTTTTATTACTAAAGTGAAGTTGGAAGCTAATTTTGTAAAGAAAAGAAATGCCCAAAGCTAATTTGGATATGGATCGCTTATCTCAGGTCGATTTTCAGAAGTTAATTGCACAGTGCCCGACCATAACTCCGTTGGGCAGAGTTTATAGTTCAAATAAAATTGGCAAAGGGTTAACATAATTTCTCGGAAATTGAATTGAGATCCATTACAGTGGGAAAAGAAATAGTTTATTAAGAAAATTCAAACCCGGTAAAAAGTTACAAACGGAAACACACTGATTTTTCCAAAAAGTTCACCATTATTACAACCAAAGAAAATGTTAAAATCACCTCACATGTCATTTTTGCCCGTAGATGTCCTAATTTTTTTAAGTTCTAGATATTCGTGTCAAAAAGATGTGTAAAACAAAAACATTTTAGATGGCAAATTTTTAAATTTCAAACGGGAAAGA